AAAAGAAAAGTGGAGGAGTGGAAACGACTTTTCGGAGTCATTTCTTAAATAATGTAATATCCGACCTGTCAAGGAGATTCATTACAGTGATCGTACGCAAGAAAAGAAACGTTCTGAATACTCTGAATGCTGAATGAATACTTCGTACTCTCAATACCGGAAACCTGGTATGAATGCAAGCGAAATGAGATATTGTATTCGTTTACTCACTGATTCTTCTCCAACTTGTCTAGAATTAATTTACTAAAGTCACTAATATTTTGGTCTAGTTTATATAATAAACTCAGGTTAAGTCTCCTAACAGTTTACCGCTTCATCGTGGCTGGGAGGTGTTTCCGGGTGTCCAGCTGCGATGTACAGCGAGGAAATTCGTTTCCCTTGCAGGGTCCCCCAAGCTGAGAAGGAGTCCGGCGTTTCCATCAACAAGCCTAGGTAAGAGCAAACCAATACAAGGTTTGACCACCATGCCGGTATCAAAGTTGCATGGTGGCAACTCTGCCTCTAATCCACGGAGGCTGCGACTGCTTATGGTGGTGAAGACCTGGGGCAGACTTTGCCCAGGCTGACCTCGGGATTCGAGAGAACCACAATGGCTTAACCAGCAAATCTTTGAAAAATTGAGATTATGCTGGGGTCCTTACAACGAAGAAGTACAACTATCAAGTAAGCAATAAATTCAGGTTATCCAAGTGTTGTCGCAGCCCTAAATGAGAAATAGTTGGACAACTGACATAAGCGATTCTGTTCCTGAGGATGAACTAGATATTTGTGTCTTTTCTATAAGTGATTGAGTTCTTATTGTCTTTTGCTTATCCTCATATTCTTATTTCGCCTTGGTGAAAGTTGTGTACACCATACATATTCATGACCTTGTATTATGTGGGATTAGTTATATGTGGCTACAGCTTTATAATCTATTTTCGATAACATTTTCACAGCATGCAGATGTTTCCGAACATACGATCATTTGAACCAACCACAATATGCAATATTGTTGTGCAGTACTGTTGTCTTTTACTGCAACAGAGTTCGGAGATAGATTATCGGTGGTGTTGCTATGTGAAAGGTTGCTTGAAAAAAAATGAGGCGGTACATATCGCATCAAAAAACCGGAAATACTTTAGAGCGATACGGTGATCCAATGGAAGTTTGTGGGAGCACCTCTAAAGTTGTACATATATAGCTGCATTCTTTCTCTAATTCTGAAGAGGAAACGCACCAGAATCTTATATCAATCATCCTCAGGATTTTGCTCGTTTCATCTTCGGGAATCAAGCAGCACTGTTGTTTAAAAAGGCATCTATGGTGAACTTCAAGCTTATGGTTTTCCATATCGGCAATTAGGTAGCTGGTGCAATTCACTTCATTTGTAAATTAAATTCACTACTGAGTAATTATTATGTGTAGAAGAACAACGCTGTAATATCATAAGTACATGGTAGGAAAAAGGACACTTGAACACCATAGAGTTTACTATAACGGAATGCTTACCCATCATTTTTAGGTCTCCATGCTAGGAGACGTTATTTGGGTGTTATTGTGAGTGACAACATAAACACGTCCTGGTCGATGGAAAACTTTCACCATAAGAGTACTTCCAACACCGCTCGAGTTGCACAGAACTAGGGTAAATTCAAACCGTGGTAGACGAAGAAGAATCTGGGAACAGTTCTTGAAGAGTAGCGTCGTAAATAATTAAAGTGTGTACACTTCTTTGTAAGACATAATTCTAGCCGATAAATTTCCGTTGAAGCTCTGACTATCCTCTGAATTGAGCACCAATTCAACCTCGAAGTACTGTGTGATGGTACCTTTCCAAGTGTCCGTGAAAAAGAAGGACAACTTTCTCTGATGCCTAAAGCCTATATTCATGCCGAAACGGGCCACTGATATAAAAGAACTACTCTTCATCATACGAGTGAAAATGTGGTTTACCGTCTTATGTTTCACAAATTGCCTACGGCACCTCGGTGGCAGAGGCATCACCAGCTGCTTAACCGGTGTGTTATCGTTGTTCATGATTTTTATGCTTTTCATTTCCTAGGTAATCTTTATGTTCTTACATGTTGATCTATTATTCTTAAACATATTCAGCACATGTGTGTTGCAAGAAAAAGGTCCACCATCCAGCCACATTATTATTGTCGGTCTCTTGATAAGCTTTCGTGAGTTTTGTAAACTATTTTTTGACGTTTCCATTCATATGAACCCATCCCACAGAATATTTATGGTGTATTAATCTATCCATATTGTGGAAGCCATAATTTAGCGGAATGGAAGTAATAGTTTTTAGGGGAGTTCGAATATTAATGTGGACGCAAACAGGGAAAGATCTCTTCAAGGAATGGGATCCTGGCAAAGACATGTACTACTAGGATGTATACCGGCAAGCGCGTATGGTTTTTAATTTGACATAGCTTGGGACATTGTACAAAGAGCGTAAACTGAAGCCAAATACGTAATGGTTGTTGTTGAAAAGTTACTACTACGAGGGATATCAACGACGTTGGTACTACATCGAAGTACCAATATTGGTTCACCTAACCACGAAAATGTTGTTACATTTAGCCATGTTTCACACCTTAAATCAAACCAATGACTTCATCTCACTAGATTCACTGTTTTCAAAGTTTTTTCGAGAAATTGCAGTGCTTATAAAAGCTCACACGATATAACGTAGAAACCAATCTGGCGGCCATTTGGTCGTTTCGATCACTCTTTTACCCTATGAAATTTCGAAGGTCATCCTCTGATTAACATCATGCACCTGAATTTGTTCATTTCCGCTTTCTGATGACGTTTTTCAATTGTCTGAGCTCGATTCAGCATTCTAACTTCCTTTTCCTCATAGTGTTCAACACAGTCGGCAGCGCCGACATTCTCGTCAACACTAGTTTGACCATCAACATCGATTAATTCGGACAGCTAGCAACCCATATCGGATATTTACGATTGAAGATATTTGGAAATACCGGCATTGACACTCTTCGTCTTTTAAGCGTCAGCATGAAACTATGACGAAGAAGAAGTCGAAGCGTTCAATGTGGACTTGTGAAAGTTCTGTAGAGGTGACTATAAATTCTTCAAGGCAATCATTGGAAACTTTAACGATAAGATTGGACCAAGAAAAACGTCTGTAGAAAGTCAAACAGGGTAATCGGTCGTCCGCTTTTATCAAGACGATCAAGACTGTCCATAGTAACTCGCAGTTCCAGAAGCCCCACCCTCAACGCTGGTCGTGGAAGTCCCCTAATGGGGACACCACAACGAAACAGACTACACCATAGTAAATCGAATGTTTTGCCTAGAGGATGTCGCTGTTGTTCCGAAATTATAAACAGAACCATACCGTCGCCTCCTTCGTGCAAGAATTCATTTTTTGCGGAAAGGAGAAAAAGCAGCTAAGTTCAGCAAACGAAATCCCAAACACCATGAACTGTGACTCATTTCATTACCCGGCTGTTAAGAAGATGTCTTTCTAGACAACATCGACAAGAAATACGAGCGGCAAGTTCAACATCTTTATGTTAGCGCTATTTAAAGCCAAGGGTTAGAAAACTATCACGAGGTCTACCTCAAGAAACACTCGAACTGATACCCCGCGTGGAATAGCAAGGGCTACGGGCGACCTTAAACTCACGCTCGAACTTGCAAAATAATGCAGACAGGTGACAAGTGAATACCATAAAGAGGAACAAAAAACATCAGTTATAATCGAAGCTGCAGACGCAGAAAAGAGGTTTCGCAAAGCCCGCCGATGATATCCATTTTATCTAAAAGCTTCACTTGAACAGTGCTCATGGTCATAATCTTAACCCTTCTATTTACTGCCTCTTTTTTAATGGCAGGGTATATTGCGAAATATAACTCGTATATAATGCTGAGATATTTGTAAAACTCCGGACTGCAGGCGTACGCTGTGGGGAACGAAGGACCCGGAAAGTGTGGTGGTGAAGTGCGCTGCTCTCCGGTAAGGACAACAGCGCGAGTTCGTTTCCCACCGCATACACCTGCAGTCCGGAGTTTTGCAAATATCTCAGCATTATATACGAGCTCATTGTTATAGTTTTACCTAGTAATCATAACATATAAAAGGCATTGTATGAGAAATGGCATTGTATTATTCTTAAGACACAACATGAATTAGTGAACTTTTGTGATTATGGGGACACATTGCCTACCTCACAATAAAACAACCTCTGATACTAGTTTACATGGTAGTAGCTGGGGTTCTAACAGAAAGTGTATAACATGCCAAAGAGCGTTAATGGCGTTCATCAAACGCTGAGGCAAGTAAAGTTGTGTGAAACAAAAGAAAATATAAAATTACAGTGTGAGAACTAATTGCACGTGCAGTTNNNNAATGACATCGTCACAAGCTTACTGATTGACAAACAAGGCAATAAAGCTGCTCAGCAAGGGTATTAATAAGGCTGCCAATTAAGTTGAATAAAACTCGAGAATGTTATTTCATCACCAATCGGTAACACCGTCGTAAATCGTTTGGTTCAAAAGTAACAGAAAATGTCGCGAACTTCATAATGGTAAATTCCTACCAGTGAGACGGTTCCAGCGATTCCAAACACGCCAGTTATCGAAACCGTAATCGAGTTCCAGCTGATCTGGATAGTCAATGGCGGTAATGAGACGACTAGTGGTATGTAGTATTTGCAATTCATAGTGGCTACGTGCTGAGGAAAGCTGGCCGCAACTAGGATAGTTGAACTGGTTGTGTGAAAGGGGGTTTTTTTCGGCTCACCAGGTTTACACGAATGGTTCGCCTTCAATATTTTAGCAACATAATGTGGATTGGCTACGACAGTAAAAGTTTTTCAAGAGCTTGTTAGAATCTACAGTCTGCTCGCGGTTCAGTGCTGTTATTACCACGGTATAACACTGACTTTATATTGTTTCGGCCATCATGTAGCAGTAGGAGAAACTTCGTTCATGTACTCAAAAATTTCAGAGTTTTTCCTTTCAGAAACATAATCAAATTCGTACTAAATGCTCGTTGTTGCCATCGTGGAAACAGCACCGGCCAACGGGTCCACGCTGTGGTTTCCTGTAATGGGTGTTACGGACCCCTGGGCTAACGTTGGAGGGTGCTCTAAGTGAGTCACGATTTGGACTCGTGTAGCCTGCCTGAAACAGAGTTCGAATCAGACAATCCCGAAATGAACGCTCGTTTAGAGCAATAATGTTGTGGGGTCAATTACAGTATTCTTTCGGAAGAACGTGGCCCAGTTATGCTGTGGCTTGAGAGCTGTAAAGTGGAAAATGAGTGACGAGATTCTTTGTTTTCTTTCACATATTATACATACACGCGTTAAGACGTTAACCTTTTAATTAAACGAGAATGGAAAAGCGAAAATTTATTTATTAAAATTTACTTTATTTTTTAGTTTAAATTTAATTTATTTAATTCATTATACTTCCACGTGATTTCTGTGCGGTTGGTCTCTACGTGACATACTTAGTGGAAACCTCATAGAAAGCGGCTCTGAAGAAGGCGAAATCCGCCGAAACGTCAGCTTAATCGTGAACAAAGAATAGTAACACCTCGCCTTTGCTCAACAAAAATACGAAGAAAATTTATAGAGTTAGTAACCTGCGAAGTCCACTCATAACAAGTAGAAGAGCATGTGCGCTGAGATTCACGTGGTGTTCCAACAAGCGTCGAAGGATTTTGTATGCGATTCGCTTCAGCTTCTCTCTCTCCAAGGTGCTCGCAGAGAGTATGAATCCTTTTAGACAATGCATACATATATTTATGGGATAGAGGTGAATGCATTAAGCACTCAAGCATTTTGTACCTGGATGGGAAAATATAAAATTTACATGAGTAACGGTCTACGCTAGCCTTTGTGCGCTTTCAGATTGTTCAGAAATAAATGAACGTTTCTAACTACATTATTTAAAATGCCATAGCCTGCTTCAACCAATAAAATTATTAGTCGAATTATAAACATTTAAATCTACACATTCTACCAACGGGAAACAATTCCATTTTTTTCCGTGCGGTTCTGATGGCGCATCCCTCAAGGATTGATCAATGCCGAGAGGCTTATCCTTTATTTATTTTTTATCTATAATTTCTACATCGAAATTATTCGATAGCAACCTTGACTTGACAAACCGCCTCGCTGTTTATACAGTTTTTCCTTTCCAAGTTTTACAATCCATCACTTCAGTAAAAAGAAACATAGAATTTGTCTGAGTAGTACAACATTGGAGTCATCCACAACTACTGTCCCATTTGTTCGTAGTTCATTCGCCGTAATGTTGGTAGTTTTCTTCAGGGTATGATCTTATAAACTAATCTTCTTTAGCTGATGCGAGGTTGGTATACGTCTTCGTTGTCGTTGACGCCATCGTTGTTGTTGTTGTTGCTGCTGTTGTTCTTGTTGGTCGATGGCTGACGTTTCTGCGATTTCGCCTTCCTCAGAGCCTGGACGTACTTTATGTTAGAATACTTTTTATTATTCGGTGAAAAAAAAGGTTAAAGTATTAATGAGGACCAAACTTTTAAACAGACGCCATATTGACCAGAAAGGCCATTCACCGTGATTTTACGAGTGGAACTGACCCACGTGTTGTAGAGTGGTCATAGAAGCAATAGACAGTCACAACGTATTCACTGAATACGTTAAAATTTTTCATGTGTCAAACATCAACTGCATAACTTGCTTTTTTCTACACGCGGTAACTGAAATGAGAAGACCCAGAAGAGTATTTGTGAGCAGTTGACCATTACCGGATTGGAGGACTTTACGTACATAAAATAGTTCTCCATTTGAAACAACAGAGTGCAATACATGTTTTTCTTTGCTTTAATTGGTAGATAACAGAGCATGATAGTGGTATAGAAAAAGAGTTTTGCCGACGAAATAGAAGATGTAAAACAGAGCAAAAATGGGACTTGTTTAAAGAGATGGAAGCGTCTCCATGTTTGGTTCGATTTCGGAGAAGAAAGGGAAAAGGGTTGGATAGAACAACAGCCGCTTCTCATCATATTTCTATGAAACTGGATGATTTCGGTATCGTTGCCTAAAAAATGTGCTCGAAAACTACGATCGCATTTTAGTAGTATTTAAACAACATCCAGCCTTTTAAAGAAAACCTTAAGTTGGAATAAACAGTCGAGTAGAAGAATGCGAGAAGGCGCTCATATTCATAATCACCACATCTTCAACATTCCAAACTTTCCATGCCACTCATATTGTTCTGCCCATCTCTGGAGCTAAGTTGTTCATCATTTCGTCATTTAGAACTTGCTACACAATGTCGGAACATTTTTAGATCTTCTTCCGGTAGCAACAAAAGTGGCTTCGGAAAACGAAATGAGCGCCACAGTGATGGTGAGACATTTGCAAAATTTGGACCCAAGGACAGATCGAACTACAATTTCCCTTTCCGGTGGCACGCGCGCTGCACGCTGTTCCACAGATCTCCTTGCCCCGCGTTTCTCTCAGCTAGTTTTCTATCTACCAGCCCTATCAGCAGTCACCCGTCAACGGGATTGATCTGTGGAGCCCACGTCGGCATTGAATACAAATAAGCCGAGGCCGCACTCGAAACCACATTTTTTATTTTTTATTTACTGCCTGCCGTGAATATTGTGGTAGGCAGTAAATAAAAAAGTAAACATTGTGAAATGAACATATTTTTTCAGCTCGATGCAAGGACGATGTTTCACACGCGCTCTACGCCAAGATTTTATGTGAATCAGTGTTGTTAGAAGGGTTTATCCGATACTTGGGTACTTAGGTTCTTAGTTGATCACTTTCGCAAAGACGCACGCTCCAGCAGCTTTTCCAGTCGTTTGGTTTTTTTGAAATCGGCATTAGTAGAGATGACTGGGTTTTCGTATTGGTTCCACCTTCAAGATTTTCGTTGCCCTGCTCTCATCCACATTATGAGTGCCAATGGAGTGGCATTTCTCTTGCAATACCGACAACACAGAGTTATAAGAATTTCGCCAAATTCGTCACATTTGTCCGTGTCAAGTAGGAAATCGCTCGTAGATTTCTAGTAAAGCTGGAAATCACCAAGAATTTTTTTCCAGTATTACAGTTCCCTTTTCTCCTTTTTATCTTTTTTTTTATCCAATATATTATATACAAATACATATGCACGTGAGAGCTCATGCAGCCCGATGGAAAGAAACACAAACAGATGCAACAGCGAAGTAATAGGCCGACAAGTGTAAATGAAAATGAACGGAAACTGGAAGACAGAGAATTTCGAAACGACAAAGTGCACACTTTGGTAAGCCCAAAAAGAAAATGAGATTTCTGTCTAGATAAAAAAGCGCCATTAACAAAACGAAGAAGCCTTTTACTTCTTATAATCACGATAACAATTACAACATTGTGATTTCGATTGCAGTTTAAGCTTAACGGAGTTTAGCGCCTGTCTGTGCTCTCCGGCTCATTCCCGTTGACGGATGTTTGCCGATAACCCTAATATAGTGGAAAGATGGTTAAGAGAAAGGCAAAGCAAAGGACTGGGTTAGTGGGTAGAGAGCACATGAGCCTATTGAAAGGGTAATAACTAGTTCGAAACCCACTTAAGTTTCCGGATTTTTCTCATAACTCGACATTAATAAGGTTATATTCACAGCGCTTCCTTTCAAATTACTCGCCTGTGCTCAACTGTCTTCAGCGAATAGAAGCACCAGGAGTGGTTCACATGATACGTACACCCTCGTTCCACAGTTTTACATGCGGAATGGTTTAGTTGTAATGCGTAAGTGAAGTTTTTTTTTAATCTTCGGAGACACTTAATAAACGGTCCGGCTTACGCACTTTGGAAATCTCTGGAAACTCGCAGAAGATAGCGCTGGTCGTTGTTGTTGATCACGATTCGTGACTCGTTCATCGCTGACCGCTCCTGCCCGTTCAGTTGCCAATTGTTCACAGTTTACACTAACAGACCTAAAATTGTTAACGAATGTGTGCCTACAGCAGTTATACTAAACAGGACTTTACGTGAATAAAAACAATTTTTTCTACTCATGTACAGCAGTTGATAGAGCTCGTGGTAGATGGCTCGATTTCGCGCCTTAGTGTGACAATGGTCGACTTCCCTCTGGGAAAAGTCAACAAATTCCTACATCAGTTGTGAGGACAAGAACCCTGATTTCATGCACCGCGTGAAACCGCCCTAAATTATTGGAAAGGCCAAATATGCATTCAACGCTAATCTATGTTACCTAATAGGGTCGAATACATCCAGCATCCCTAAAAGATTGATCCACGCCGAACGCTTTATTTCACTCGCTTACTGCCTTGAAAGTATAGAGGTTAAAGCTTTCGGCGTTTATCAATCCCTTAGAGATGCGCCATGCATTCGACTTCATTAAGCATCGTTTATAGGTGATTGAAAGCACATGTGGTCTTTACAATGACTCGCGGTAGCCTACAGATATATCGAGCCAACGCTGCTATCCTCCCAGACAACTCTGGCACCAATTAGCCGACCCCGGAGGAATGAGGGCTTGGTAGGCAGGCCATGGGCCTGGCGATCGATTTTACGTGTGAGCTGAATGGCGCCTCGGACCACTGCGCCCCACGTGCCTTTTTCACCGTAGACAGGAGGCTAAAAATTCAAATTCTTTGTGTAACAAGTATAAGCCACTTGCCGTGCATCTGAATGTTCTTCGATGTAATGAACGTAAAACAATTTCGGTTTTTCCTTTTTTGTCCCCTATACTATTCCTACACATCATATGTTAGCAAGTTTGAAGCACATATCCTTTTCCTTCTCCTTTAGGTAAATATGCTCAATTTGCACGAGAAGAAATGAGTGACAGCGGATTCCACTCCAATCAAGAAAAGGTGTGTTATGTTGCACAACCATATTCATTAAAGAACCAACCTTTAGACCTCATAAGTTTGACGCTTAAGGGACAGATAGCAAAGTAGTAGTAATGTCTGTCATCACGAGAACGTGCTAGTTCGATTCCGCTCCGTGCCAAGTAAGCTTCTCACCTCTCCAAGGTCGGGAAATTTGTACTGAGATTGCTCGGGAAAAATCCACTCTCTGCAGTCCAGTTGGGAACGCTCCCAGCCTAGCTCTCAGGACTCCAGGAAGAATTTCTCGATCAGCGTTCTACGGAATTCAAGTTGAAATAAAAATCCTCCAGCAAAAAAGGAAGCAACACCTAAAAGTGGGCAAATCTTCGTAGACAATAGATGCGAGGAAACGAATCGAGTGTGAAGAATGCTGGTATCCGGACAGTAGATGTGAAGACGGGTCATATTAAAAAATAAAAAAAAATCTGACGCTTCAGAGAGAAAACTTCGGCAGATATGTTAGATTGCTTCCACGCAAGCGATAGCATGTCTTGATTTGGTCAGTGTAGTAAATTAATCGAATAATATCATGTAAAGTCACCACTCACAGCCCTACGACTCGCAAATCTCCTAGATGACTAGCAAACGTCGCATGTCCCGCTCTGTTAGCGCTGCACATAGGACCCAATTTAGCAGCTTTGAAGGGTAGAAGAAATTGAGCGCGATCCCATTTCCATTTACAGCGAATAGTGTGTCCCTTACCATGCCATCGTACATTCATGGCCTAAGTTCGAAAAAAGCGAAAAAATTGAAGTATTTTGTTAACACGGGCCGTGGACCACCATTTTGTCTGATGTTTCATAAATAATAGTTGGATTGAGAACGCTGATAATTACCTGTAAGATATGTGTTACAAATCTATTCTTAGATGTAAAACTGGAGCTGAAGAATGGAACACTTGTCATCTACAAACGAAAGGTCTCGATACGAAATATCAGTGGCATAGCTTTGTCCTCCACCCATCAACTCTCCAATTCGTCAACTCGTACGAGATTCTTCGCACCAGCCTATCTCTTTCTCCACCTCCAACCAAAACGTCGTAAGAAGGTCATTATCAGCAATTGCCGCTCACCGATTGAAGCAGCTAACGAGTACGGTTTAGATGCATTACACTATCAGTTAAATAAAGATATCCTTAGTGATTACAAGTATTATAAATTACAACCACAACGTTGCTGAGATATTTGCAAAACTCTGGACCACAGGTGTCTATGGTGGGAAACGAACGCAAATATCTCAGCAACGTTGTGATTGTATTTCGCTTAGTACCCTGCCGCGAAATTATAGTAGGCAAAAAATAAAAAGGTATAACATTGAAGAGAACTGCCACGACCGACTTTCTATTAACCTCGGCAATTGAAGAGAACATATTTGGCAAGTTCCTTTATAAATACTAATTCTGGATCCTTTTTACAGCACTCGATATTCACCATGGTCTAACCAATGAAAATTCACACACCTCCACACAAGCGATTTTTACACTTTTTACTCACGAAGAGTATATGGGGCACTACGGAACAACGAACCTATAACACAAGTATGAAGTCATAAAAATTCGGTTTCTTCGTGTGTTGTTGATGAGGCTCAAATTCAACGGCACTCCGACGGCCACCAATTTGGAAGGGCGTTTAATTGCATTTTTTAAATCTTATTTGTGTGGTTTGCTATACAACATAGTCGCATTTTCTACGCTGATTGTGTTTAATATGAACGAATTGGATCCAAAGGACACCAATTAACCGCGCAGCTTCCTCATTCCAAAGGTCCTAGCGCTGAAGAAAACTCGAATAATAGATTTGATTGTACCTTAAAGCTTCTGGTGTATTGATTAGACCTTTAGAGGAAGAAAAATCTCAGAAGTGGTGTTAAAATAAGCTAGAATGACCACAAGCTTCATAAGGCTGAAATTTTAGAACGTTAATATCTGAGCTAATCTGTATCGAGAAAGGTTTTCAGATAAGAAAATTGCCGTAGGAATATCCTAGCGAAGCCGCGTATGGCGCATTGGATTGAGTAGCGCTACTATACACAGTTGGTCCTTGGTTCGATCTCTACCCGTAGCTCACCTAGCCAGTGTCCTGAAACTATTACAAGGCGACAATATCAATTTGTGTTTTTTAATGCTCCATTTATGTCCAACGACCGAACATTGCTTAATGTCCTACCTGACGGTATCCGAGAGTTTGCGTCGGCAAGACCGTATAATGATCGATTTCACTGTAAAAATGAGGAAGAAGAAAAGAAACCCTTGAGAGCAAAGTCCTTCGCGATTTTCACCGTTGTGTTTGCTCACAGCTCAAAAAGAGCTGTGAGGCCAACCAACGGCGAATGACCAATGTTGTGTTTCTATTTGAGACTGTGCTGAAACAGGAAATTTTTTGCAGGTTGGAAAAAACCTGGTTTTTCGTTGTTTATTTTATTAATTTTTTCCTCTTCAATTTTGCAGCGAAATCGTACGTTATACGGACTCGACTCGACGTGATGAAAAAGACGTTTGGAAAGAATGGAACCACACTCCCACGGCAATTTTGTTATCTGAAAACTCTTCTCGATACAGATTAGCTCAAATATTAACGTTCTAAAATTCCAGCCTTAAGAATTTCGTAATCATTCCAAGCTTATTTTAACCCCCTTCTGAGATTTTTCTTCTCGAAATTAATCGGTGACTGCGTCTTCCATCGCCTACAAAATTTCAGAAATCAAATGATGCTTAGCAACGACGAATTAAGGTACAATCAAATCTATTATTCGAACTTTCATCAGCGCTAGGACCTCTGGAATGGGGAAGCTGGGCGGTTAATTGCTGTCATTTGGATTCAATTCGTTCATATTAAACACAGTCAGCGTAGAAAATGCGATTATGTTGTATAGCAAACCACACAAATAAGATAAAAAAAATGCAAATAAACGCCCTTCCAAATTGGTGGCCGTCGGAGTGCCGTTGAATTTGAGCCTCATCAACAACACACGAAGAAACCGACCTTTTATGACTTCACACTTGTGTTGTAGGTTCGTCGTTCCGTGGTGCCCTAAATGCTTCCCTCAATGATCAAAATGATAAATGAAGACATTTAAAGAAAGGACTAATACTACGTCTGTTCAGCAAACACGAGGCGTTATTTTAAAGTTTAAGTCGACCATAGTCTGGTCGAGTTTAACTACTAGTCGACTTAAATTAGTTTTCTAGTCTAATTTTTTAGAGTTTTTATAAAATAACACCTCGCGTTTGCTGAACAGAAGTAGGAAGAATTATTCAATCAATGCCGAGGTTAATAGAAAGTTGGATGTGGGAGTTGCCAATACTACAATCATCTCTGCCGTAGATCGATAATTGTGTCTACGTATACATATAGTAGCAGAACATTCTCCATAGATGTCAACATCACGGCATCCTTGAAGCCGCTGCTTGCAAAAAGCTTCATGTGTTCGTACTGCTAGAAACAAAAATCAGGAAGACCGTCATATGGAGTCTGTCGGCCACCAGTTCACTGTCCATTTCGTCAACTCGTACGAGATCCTTTTCCCTCACATGGCCGTCCTTCGTCTTCAATTTACGTGTTATGAGAAGATCATAATCATCATTTGGTACTCAGTACCTATGCAGCTGACCGCCTACCTTCAAAAGAAAAAAAACCCAGACCAGTTGAGGACGTAGCGCATGGTCATACTGGCCAAGAACGGTGACCGCAGGGATTTTCGTAACTGTGGTACGAAACGCATGCTCAGTGTAATCTACAAGCTCTTCGTGAAGATTATCGTCTCACGCATTTCGAGGATATTGGATGAGGCATGACCAATGGAACAGGCAAAGTGTCGGCGACCATTTTGCTGGATAGACCACATCCAGGCTATTACCAGGGTCATTGTAGTTTGTTGGGAATACCCCTGTCTCTAGTCTTAACACTTGTCGACTGTAAAAAGGCGTTTGACAGTGTCGAAACGATTGCGATCCTATCAGCGCTCGTCAACCAAAGAGTGGACCCGCCTTACATAAAAACTTTGTGTGTTCTTATCGGAACTGCACTATGAAAATACAGCTTTTTCATCAACCTCCTACCACACACATAGGAAACGCGGTTAGACAGGACGACGTAACTTCGCTGAAACTGTTTAGTGCCGCACTGGAGTGATAATGAGGTCACTCGAATGAAGGAACCGATTCGTATTAATGGAGAATTCCTATCAAAACTTCGGTTTGCAGATACATTGTCATCTTTTCAAGAAGTACCAGCGAAGTAGACACGATGAACAAAGAGCCCAACGAAGCTGAAGAAAGGATCAGACAACACAAAAATTGGAAGAAGACTCAGTTCTTCGAAAACCCATAGTCTAAGGACTAGTGTATCAAAGTTGATGGTTCTCTGATTACAGAGACCACCTCGTACTTACACCTTGTACGATCAGTTAGCATGGAAAACAACATAAAGCAAGAACTAGACAGAAGAAGGTGAGCGGCTTGGGCAGCATTTGGGCTGCTCAGAGACGCCATTGACCATTTGAAGAAGCCGAAAATCCACGCTCATCTTTTTGATTCAACGGCTGTTCCAGAACTCTGTTATGATGTAGAGACGTGGTTTGATACTTCAACTGCGCCAAGAATACTCCGTACTACTGATAGAGCGCTTCAGCGATGTCTTTTGAAATACAACTGGTTATCTCTCTATTTAGCTGGAATTGCAAACTCTGATCTTCGAAATCTGTCACATCTTCGTGACTCAGGATAATATAGAACGATAGCGAAACACAAATAGGAGGATGACATAAGGAGAAGAACGGACGGCAGATGGACGAAAAAATTTGTGGACTGGACTCCACAAGAATGCTGGCATCCTCTGAGATGGCCACCTCCACGTTGGACGAACCTTCTTGTAATCAAAGTTAATCGGCTGTACTCGCAAATGCACTTATTTTACAGATTACAGACGATATGGGGCTAGCAACGGTCACTATGATCGAATAAAACCAACACCATGGGCGGCAACTGGGTGAGAAAGAAACGAAGGGCGAATGTGCTGGGTCCCCACAACTCGTGAAGTCGGACCGCCCGAGCATTCATGTATATACGTATATTTGATGGCTATAAAATTGATACCGTATACGCATGTAAATACATAATGTGTGTGGGTGTAGGTATAATAGCAAGGCGCAGGCCATAAAATAAATGTGTATCTGCTGCCGCTAGCCTCCAGCGCAGTGGCTAGACGTGCCCTGCGATGCACACGTGGTCGTTGGCTCGGTCCTGGGCTTCAGGCTAACCAAATCTTCCATCCTTACCGGTTCTCAAAAATTGTTGTCAGAGGTGTTCAGAACCATAGCACGGCAGACCTGATACATCGGTAGACCACCACAAGTCATTATATAGTCCAGATATGCATTCAACAGCCTCCAACGTTGCTTGATGAAGTCGAATCTATGGCTCATCCAGAACGCTTTATGCTTTGCATACACATAAATATATATATATTTATATACATCTACTTATATTTAGCGAGTTATTTCGTCAGCGCGCCACATAATGAGGTTAACATCACAAGAGGGGACAATTTTTATGACACTTCGCTTTCACGTCATTCTTGACTCATGGAGTAGCTTTTGGAAGATTATGTAGCAATGCTTTCTTAAGGGAAAGTGTAGGTATTTTACCAACCAGCAAGTAGGTTTCGATCAACAACTTTGTCAAGAAATGCAACTGTTTTATCTCTATAGTCGATACTTGATAAA